CTCTTGCTACCTTTACTGCTGAGCCGGGCTCGGGTCTCTACACTCTTCACACTGGCCCGCGTGCGCCGCAGCAGCAGCCGCAGCAGCAGCAGCAGCAGCCGCAGCCGCAGCAGCAGCAGCAGCAGCAGCAGCAGCAGCAGCAGCAGCACCAGCGGCCGCACCAGCAGCCCCCCCTACTGCCACTGCCCCCGGTTCCCCCCCCCGTTCGGGTCCCCGTGTCTCACCAGGTTGCTTCGTCCCCCCAGGTGTCTGTGTCGTGTCAGGTTCCTACGTCTGTTCCAGTCGCTGCGTCGTGCTCCTGCCGGTCGCTTGCCCACCCCACCGTTCTGTGGCACCACCGGATGGGGCACCCGTCCCTTCCATCGTCTGCGCGCTATGTCTAGTCAGCGTCTTGTCCTAGGCCTCCCACGTGTCTTGCCGTCGCTGCCGCCTTCGCTTGCGCCGCCGTGTCGTCCCTGCGTCGAGGGTAGGCTGCGCGCCACCCCTCACTCCTCCTCCCTTCGTCCGGCCACCGAGCCTTTTGAGACGCTTCACTTGGACGTCTGGGGCCCCGCCCCTCGTCTAGGCCCTAAGCGTGAGCGTTAGTTTCTGGTGGTCGTTGACGACTTCTCCCGCTACACCACAGTGTTCCCACTGGCGAAGAAGTCTGAGGTGACTTCTACGCTGATCAGGTGGTTGCTCACCACCGAGGACACTCGTGGTCGTCGTGTCAGCTGTCTCCACTCCGACCGTGAGGGTGAGTTTCGCTCCGGCATTCTCGCTGGATTCTGTCGCGAGCAGGGCATTCGTCAGTCCTGGACGCTTCCAGAGTCCCCACAGCAGAATGGGGTTGCTGAGCGCCGCATAGGCCTGGTCATGGAGATCGCCCGCACCTCCCTGACTCACGCCTGTGCCCCCCATTTTCTGTGGCCCTACGCGGTCAGGTACGCCGCGCACCAGCTGAACCTCTGGCCACGTGTCTCTCGACCAGAGGTTTCACCGACCAGTCTTTGGACAGGGTCCCCTGGTGTTGCGTCGCGGTTTCGTGTCTGGGGGTGCTTGGCTCTTGTCCGCGACACCTCCGCGGACAAGCTCTCGCCTCGTGCCGTCCCCTGTGTCTTCCTTGGTTTCCCTGAGGACTCCTCTGACTTCACCTTTTACCACCCTCCCTCTCACCGGTTCTTTGACTCCCGTGACGTCCGTTTCGAGGAGTCCACTCCGTACTACGTCAGGTACCCCAGTCGAGGTCTCCCGGTTCCTCCTCCCCCCCTCTTCCTGACTGCCGCTCCCCCTCCTGCTCCCCCGGTACAGCCTCCCCCCCCTGGCCCAGCCCCGTCAGGTGTGTCCCAGGCTACCCCTCCTCCTTCGGTAGCCCCTCCGGTGTAGCCTCCCTCCCCACAGTCCTCCTCGCAGCGTGCCGCTGGTGCTAGCTCTCGAGAGGTTGGTGCTGCGCCTGTTCCTGTACCGGTTTCTGGTTCTGGGGGTGCTGGAGTTGGAGCTGGTGTTGGAGCTGGAGGTGGAGCTGGAGTAGGCACTGGAGTTTCTGGTTCTGGGGGTGCTGGAGTTGGAGCTGGAGTTTCTGGTTCTGGAGTTGGAGCTGACCCGGTGGGTGCAGAGGACTCTTGTAGTCCGGGAGCCGGTGCTGGCCGCGCGGACTCTGGGGGTGCTCCCTCTGGGGGTGAGGGTGCGCCTGCTTCGGGTTCTGGTGCGCCTGGGTCTGGAGCTGGTGTTAGTGCTGCCTCTGGGGGTGGTGCGCCTGGTTCTTCGGGGGTTGACCCTGGAGCTGCCGCTGCTTCGGACACTACTCCGCCCCCCCACCCCTACCCGACTAGGCACCAGGCTCGTGTTCGCCGTGCCCGTGACGAGCAGCTGGAGTTGGAGAGAGAGGAGAGGGAGTTACAGCGGCTGGCGGAGCAGCAGCAGCAGCTGGACCCGCAGGAGCAGCAGTCCCAGCAGCAGCCGCGTCCGCAGCAGCAGCAGTCGCAGCAGCAGCAGCAGCAGCAGCCACTTCCTCCTCCTGTCTCGGGTCTTCGGGCCCTTGGTCTCCCCTCCCCTTCTCCTCCCTCCTCCGCCTCTCCTCCTGTCTACGGTCCCACGTTTCCTCCGCCTGACTCCTCCCCCGCTGTTTTCTCTAGTTCTCCGCCTTTGTCCTCTCCTCCTCCGTCTCGTTCTTGGGCTACTCGTCGCTCCCCTCGTGCTCGTCCCTCGTCTCCTGTTCCCTTCACTGACCTTCGTACTGCCTTACTTTGTTCCAGTCCACCTCGTCCGTCTCAGTCTGTGCTTCCGTCTCCTCCTGAGTCGGCCCTCACCGTGTCGCTCCCTGCTCCTGTCACTGACTACTACCGCACGTACCGTCCTGTTCTCTCTCGTGTTCTCGCCTCTCTTGTTACTCACCCTCGTGCCTCTGTGTCCTCTGTGTCTGCTCTTACTGCCGCGGTTACTGACTTTGCCGCTACCCGCCGCCTTGACTACGCCACCACGCTTGTGGCTGCTCCTCCTACCAGTCCTCTGGCCGTCGGGGGTGTGTCTGCCCTTGGCTGTGACGCCCTAGAGGACAGGCAGTTTGAGCTAGAGTTCCTGGCGGCCGCTTCCCCTCATCTCTGTGCCATGCTCCTCGCCCCTGAGGGTGACCCCGACGCCCTTGACATTCCGACTCCTCGCACTTACGCTGAGGCAGTGTCAGGGCCTTGGGCCTCTCAGTGGAGAGCTGCCATGGACGCAGAGATGGCCTCCTACAGATCCACAGGCACCTACGTCGATGAGGTTCCCCCCCCTGGGGCGAACGTAGTCGACGGCATGTGGATCTACAGGGTGAAGCGGCCACCGGGATCTCCCCCGGTCTTCAAGGCGCGCTACGTGGCTAGAGGTTTCAGTCAGCGCGAGGGAGTTGACTTCTTTCAGACCTTCGCACCTACCCCGAAGATGACCACTCTTCGGGTGTTACTACACGTAGCAGCACAGAGAGACTACGAGTTACACTCTCTCGACTTCTCCACTGCTTTCCTTCAGGGCAGCCTACACGAGGAGGTCTGGTTGCGTCGTCCCTCGGCCTTCACTGGCACTTTCCCTCCTGGGACCCAGTGGAGGCTGAGGCGACCTGTTTACGGTCTTCGCCAGGCCCCTCGTGAGTGGCACGACACTCTGCGTTCTACCCTCTCTGACCTTGGGTTCCAGCCGTCTTCTGCCGACCCGTCGCTGTTCGTTCGTCGTGGCTCCACACCGTTCTTTGTTCTGGTCTACGTCAACGACCTCGTTTTCGCCACTCCGGACAGGGTTGCTTTGGCAGACGTGAAGTCCGAACTGCAGAAGAGACACACGTGCACTGATCTTGGTGAGCTGCGCCACTACCTTGGCCTGCAGATCACCAGGGACAGAGCCGCTCGCACCATTACACTCTCACAGTCACACATGGTGCAGCAGGTCCTTCAGCGGTTCGGGCTTCAGCACTCCACCGTACAGCGCACACCTCTCGCTGTTGACCACAGACTCACTGGTCCCTTTCCTGACGAGCCGTTTGAGCCTAGTGGTCCCTACGCAGAGCTTGTGGGTTGCCTCATGTACCTGATGACTTGTACTCGCCCGGACCTCGCCTTCCCTCTCAGCATCCTTGTGCGCTTTGTTGCGCCAGGGAGACACCGTCCTGTTCACAGGACGGCAGCTGTGAGGGTGGCGAAGTACCTAGCGACTACATCAGGCGTGGGGCTAGTTCTTGGAGGGCAGCAGTCTGTCGTACTCACTGGTCACTGTGACTCCTCTTACGCTGACGACGCTGAGACTCACAGGTCTACTCAGGGGTACTGTTTCAGTCTGGGTTCTGGAGCTGTTTCCTGGCGTTCCACGCGCTCCTCTTCTGTCTCGACCTCTACAGCTGAGGCTGAGATTTACGCTGGTGCCATGGCGGCACAGGAGTTGCGGTGGTTGACCTTCTTGCTCGCCGACCTTGGTGAGCGGCCGAGCTCTGCACCGACCTTGTTTACTGACAACAAGGCGTCGATCCTCCTCTGTCGTGAGCCGCGACTGGAGAGCAGAGTGAAGCACATTCACGTCAGGTACTTTCTTCTGCGAGAGTTGCAGAGACGTGGACAGGCTCGCTTCGAGTTCGTGGAGTCCGAGGCCAACACTGCAGACATCTTCACCAAGGCGCTTCCGCCTTGTGACCACCAGAGGTGTTGTGTGCAGTTAGGCCTTGTTGACACAGGTTCTAGTCATGTGTAGACTTGAGTTTATTGCCTGCTTCGTCTGTACACTTGCTATATATACTTGTGATCTCTTGGACTGGCCTTGTGGCCACTGTTGCTTGTGCTCAGAGTGTGTGGTGACGTTGTGATCCACCCTGAGCTTTGTTTTCTTTTGGACTGGTCTTGTGACCGTACTCTTTTTGATTTTGCTAGACACCCCTCACTTAGGCTATGGGGGTGTGTCAAATGTTGTAGCCTGTAGTGAGGTTTGTCTTAGGGGGTACAGAAGTTAGGGTTTGTCATATGTACCCCAACCAACATCAATGGAACCACCATTCCTCATTCTGATATGCGGTGCAGGGTGTGGTGTGTGCCACTGTGGAGAATTGGTTGGAGTAATTACCTGCATGCTGCTGTGAGGCATGCCGGCCTTCAGGGATGGTATGCTGGGGTGTGTTGGTGTGGTGAAATGTGGTTTCTTGGTGTAGTGCAGGGTATGGTGTGGTGTGGTGGAGTGCGATGATATGGAGCACATTGAGGGAGCATTGAGATGCGCCCAACGACTGTACTGAGGCAGGAGTACAAAAAGATTGCTGCTTTTCTGGGTTATGGATCGTTTGCATCAGGGTCTTCAACTCTGCCTCCAGGTAATTGACCATCAAATGTTGCATTACACCATAATTCATCAGATTTTTAGAAATATACATATAGTAAGTAAGCCATTCCAGATCCTAAAATCCGTGGTAAGTGACAAAGAGGCAGGTTACTATAGAACTAAACAGCGTTTTTGTACCCAAAACTCCAAGGATTACATGAGAGGCCCAGAGTGGCCATAAAACAACTCTAAGCCCTCTCTCCGCGAATGCGCCGAGCCAGCTGAATGTCCTTAGGCATGATGGTCACACGCTTGGCATGAATAGCGCACAAGTTGGTGTCCTCGAACAGACCAACGAGATAAGCTTCCGCGGCTTCTTGGAGCGCGAGCACCGCGTGGCTTTGAAACCGCAGGTCCGTCTACGCAGCACAGTTAACAGCAGTGGTTAATTGACGTGAGGAAGGAGACATAAAGGAAAGAAGTAGAAACAATGTAAGTTGACCTAAACAAAAATGTCATACCTTGAAGTCCTGGGCAATTTCGCGAACCAGTCGCTGGAAGGGAAGCTTTCGAATAAGCAGCTCGGTACTCTTCTGGTACTTGCGAATCTCACTGCGCAGTCATCGAGCGAGATGTCAGCGAAGCTCATGGCACTGGCTGAAGTAGGAAATTTTTGAAATATACGCACCGAAGAGCGACAGTTCCGGGACGATAACGATGAGGCTTCTTAACTCCTCCTGTTGTAGGAGCTGACTTCCTCGCAGCCTGAACCATTCGAACAGGACAAAGCGTCAGTTGGCCGTACGAGACATCTGCTACGTGCTAAGTGGTTAAAATACGTTTAAACAAATATAGCAGCTAGGTCCACCTTAGTCGCGAGCTGCTTCCTAGGAGCCTTTCCTCCAGTGGACTTCCTAGCCGTCTGCTTGGTACGAGCCATAGTGCAGCGAAAGTGAGAAGAACTAGAAAACGCAGGATGGATTTGAGAGAGCTAACTTGTGAGACAGGCTAAAGACTACACAAATGGACGAACTGGACTAGCAATAAACTCCCAGCGTGAGCATTGCAGAGTCGTTGCGTCCCCACCAAGCAAACCCTAGGGTCGAAAGGTTATTACCAAAGGGGGGCGCCTAAGGCCGCGTTACAATTGAGACATCGAGGTAGGATCGCGGATCACGCCGATCCTGAGAGATCAGTCGCCACATCAGCGTGCCACGATTTGCAATCGCTGGCCCACCTAGAGTCTCAAGTGACACGATTGGAGGGGCCAAAATTGCCCTATGTCCACGAAATTGAATGATCGATGGGTGGCAGGGGGAACATTGATCACCAGACTGAGAGGACGCGATAGTTGTCACCACGCCTCTGTGCATTTTCGAGATGTGACAAAACGTGGAAACCACTCAAAAGCGATATAGCGAAGTACCGATCTTGCACGGGTCGATTTCTGATTGTAACGCGTCCTGTGTTCCGCTGAGGACGCTGTACCGTCGATAACGAAATGCCTTGATACGAATCTTGCAATCTGACTGGATCTCAACCAGCTCGCACACAACCACCTTCGTCAAGAACAGAGAAGCTACAACTGTAAGAAAGCAATTTTATACATTTACACATTTGAGTTTGCATCTCATTTTTGTAAGTGATTTGGAAAGTTTTACTTTTTGGTCTGGTACCCTCTCAGGTTCTCATATTGATCTAAGGCAGTAAAAACAATCATGACAGATTTCACAATTACATGTTTTTCTTTGCCTGAAAATCAGACTCACCAAAAAAATATTATACGTTCAACGTCGTGGGTTGGTTGTACCATACCGTATTCCCCCATGTTAGGATAAGAATCCTTGAATAGGATAGGCTGCTTAGGGAAGTGTAGTGGAAGTATTTGTTCTAGTAGAAACCTTGTGCATAGATCTAGCTATGCACAAGGAAAACATTACACAGATCTAGCTAGCCATCTACTATAGGGAGTACATTCCCTTACTATCACCATGTAAAACATGAAACCGTTCGGTCCAGGTTGGTCAGCAGTCGCGACGGTTGACTTTGCGACTGTTGACATGCGTGCCCTTTATGGGCTGACGCAATAGTGCTGTTGTTGTTGCTTTGGTAGTGGCTGTTACAATACTGCTGCACCTTCGTGAATGCTAAAGTAATTCCATGCTTACTCCAACACTCCCCTTCATTCGTGGAGGTCCACAACGTGGCTTTGCTTGACGACTCCGCACAGGTCCGCACAGTTCTGGAACTTCTGACGTGGCAATTTTTTCATCAGAATGGCAGCTGTCATTTTGCCAGTTGAACAGTAGGTGAGTGTCAAACATATATGCTCATTATTGTGTAGGCTGTAGTGGGGTAGCCCATATGGGGTACAACCTAAATTAGGGTTTGCTACTTGTACCCATCCTGCTGCTAGTTCATTCATTCCTTTTCATTCTTCCGACATGGTTTCAGAGCAGGTCCTAGCCTAGGACCGATCTCTTAGGGCCCACCGAGTAGCGCTACCCCACCCAACGCGCTAGTGTGATCACGTCGTACGACTGTACTGCCCTGCCCTGCCCTGCGCCGCCCGCAGCAACGCGCACTGCTTTGTTAGCGCGCCGCCTGCTGCAGCGCGCCCTAGGGAGTCGCGCACCACCTACTACATCGCGCCCTGCCCTGCCCGCGCGCTGCCAGCGTCGCACGCCCTGCCCGCGCGCTGCCCGCGTCGCGCGCCCTGCCTTGCCCGCGCGCTGCCCGCGTCGCGCGCCCTGCCCTGCCCGCGCGTCGCACCGTCGAGCGCCCTGCCCTGCCCGCGCGCCGCCCGCGTCGCGTGCCCTGCCCTGCCTGCGCGTCGTGCCGCCGCGCGCTCTGCCTTGCCCCCGCGCCACGCCGTTGCGCGCCCTGTCCTGCCCGCACCCCGCGCCGCCGTGCCCCCTGCCCTGCCCGCGCGCTGCTCCGTCGCGCGCCCTGCTCTGCCGCGCGCCCTACCCGGCCGCGCGCCCTCCCCTTCCGCGCGCCCTGCCCTGCCGCGCGCCCTGCCCAACCGCGCGCCCTGCCCTGCTGTGCGCACCCTGCCCTACCGTGCGCCGCTCACTACTCCACTGCTCCTAGCGCGCTCCCTACTGCACTGCTGCTAGCGTGCTGCTTTGCTGCTAGCGCACCCACCTGCTCTGCCTGCTATGGCCACCCTTAACTTTCTCACCTTCAATTCGGAGGGCCGCTCGATAGAGTTCGCTGCATGGCTAGACCATTTACAGCTGTTCCTGCTGACAGATTCAGGCGGCGCGCGGGCAGCGCAGGGTGGCGCGCGGGCGGCGCCAGAAGTGAGGTCAAACGGCTCGGGGAGGCCGGGGAGGCAGGGGCTGTGGGGGCGGGAGAGGTGGAGGCGGCGGTGGGGGCGGTGGGGGCGGTGGAGGCGGTGGTGGGGGCGGCGGTGGAGGAGGTAGTGGTGGTGGGGGCGGCGGAGCAGGTGGCGGCGGTGGTGGCGGCAGTGGGAGTGGTAGCGGCAGCGGTGGTGGAGGCGGTAGTGGCGGCAGTTGGGGTGGAGACGGCGGCGGTGGGGGCGGCAACGGTGGCACCAGCCAGAGGGGAGGCCTTGGAGGTGGCCAGCGGCAGCACCAGCGTCAGCCTTTTTCGCCTTAGGAGCTCCGTGAGTGGTTTCCTCAGCGTGGGGCCGCAAGGGGTAGTGGTCCCTGCCCGTACGTCATTCGCACAAGTGACCGCACTGGTCAGACATGCGGGAGGTCTCACACTCAGCACCGCCGCTTCTACCGCCTTACCGACGCCTTCCGCGCAGAGTTCCCCGACGCGGCCGAGCTCCCCGACTGGGCGGCGCTGCTTAGGCAGAATGTTGATATCTTTGCTCTAGACTTTGATGCTATCCTATCTGCCATGTATGCATTGACTGTTAGTGCTGAGGGTGACTAATACCTGTGTGTGCCGCTAGACCCAGGTATAGAGGCTGCTGCTCTAGGTGCTAGTGAGTCTGCTGCCCTAGGTGCTGGTGAGTCTGCTCTCTCTGGTACTGCATCGGCTGCGGCCTTGCACACCTTCACGCTTGACTCATGTGCCTCCCGCTATTTCTTTCGCGACGATACCACAGTCACACCACTTACTGCACCTGTTGCTGTGTCTTTAGCTGACCCCTGCCATTCCTCCACTGTTCTGCCCTGTCCGGTGGTTCCATCTAGGTCACTGTCAGGTTTCCACCTCCCCTCGTTCTCCACGAACTTGGTGAGCACTGCTGTCCTCTAGGATGTGGGGGTTGACACCTTCACCCCTGGACGGCAGCGTGTGGCGATCTGTACGTGCTCCAGGACCAGTCGCCACCTGGCCACGTTCACCCGTCGACCTGGGTTGAGTCTCTACACACTGACTACTGCGCCTCCTCAGGTAGCTGCGTCTGCGTCTGCGTCAGGTCAGCTTGCTGCCCCCTGCTCGTGTCGCGCCGTGTCGCACCAGACGCTTCTTTGGCACCACCGTCTTGGTCACCCCTCTGTGGCACACCTCCGTGGCATGCACTCCCGTCTCCTTGTCTCTGGTCTTCCCAGGTCTCTGCCTCCCCTCCCACCGTCGCCTGCCCCCCCCTGCCTTCCCTGTGTCGAGGGGCAGCAGCGCGCCGCTCCTCACTCCTCCTCGTTCCCGCCGAATGAGGCCCCCCTGCAGACTCTCCACCTGGACGTGTGGGGCCCAGCCCGCGTCCGTGGACAGGGCCGCGAGCGGTACATTCTGCTGGATGTCGACGACTACTCGCGTTACACCACGGTCATCCCCTTGCGCCGCAAGGGGCATGTCCCTGATGTTCTGATCCCTTGGATCTGCATTGTTCGTCTCCAGCTCCGCGAGCGGTTCGAGACGGACCCTCCAGTCCTGCGTCTGCACATTGACAGAGGTGGTGAGCTTTCCTTCGACCTCTTGCGGGCCATTTGTCGTGCGGAGGGCATTCGCCAGACGTTCACGCTTCGGGCCTCTCCGCAGCAGAATGGGGTTGCTGAGCGCCGCATTGGCTTAGTCATGGAGGTCGCTCGTACCTCCATGATCCATGCGGCTGCCCCCCATTTTATATGGCCGTTTGCTGTCCAATACGCTACGCGTCAGCTCAACCTCTGACCCTGTGTCTCCTTGCCGGAGACCTCGCCCACACTGCGTTGGACGGGGGAGGTTGGCGATGCGTCTGTGTTCCGGGTCCGGGGATGTCGAGCCTTTGTCCTCGATACGTCTGCGGACAAGCTCTCCTCCCGCACTGTTGCCTGTGTCTTCCTTGGCTCCCTGACGCGCCTGGCTGGCAGTTTTACCACCCCACCTCGCGTCGTGTCCTGCCCTCTCAGGACATCACGTTTGACGAATCGGTTCCCTTTTACCGTCTTTTCCCCTACCGCACTGCCCATCTCCCTCCCCCACCGCTCTTCCTCACGCCAGGTCCTCCTTCGGTAGACCCCCTCCCCCCTCAGGGTCTTGCTCCCTCAGGTGTGTCCCAGGTAGACCGTGTCGAGCCTGTCAAGGTCGCTGTCGACTCTGGTGCTGCTAGAGGTGTTGCGTCTGGGGGTGCTGAGCCTGCGGGTGCCGGGCCTGGGGTTGCAGGGCGTGAGTGTGCGGAGCCTGGTGGTGCTGAGCTTGAGCGTGCGGAGCCTGGGGGTTCTGAGCCTGGGGGTGCTGAGCCTGGGGTTGCTGAGTCTGAGGGTGCTGAGCCTGGTGCTGCTGAGCTCGGGTGTGCTGAGCCTGGAGGCCCTTCGGGTGTCTTGTCACTGCCGGAGTCTTTCTCTCCACTACAGCTGCGCGAGTGGTTAGCTCGG